AGCAAAGCTTATTATTGTTCCTATTTTATATTGCACATTGATTTGGGGCTCATGAAGCTTATAGAGGATGTAAAGCCACAGGGAGGTGTTACACAAAAGCTATGTCAGGCTAGGATACTTGGTGGTGAGGGCAAAACTGTAATGTATCAAGAAATTCAGGAAGGCAGAAATGTCAGAGACACCTGCAAATGACAAAATAACTTCTCCCCAACTTGGTATCCTGTGCAGTGGCCAACAAAACATTGCAAATACATATCTAAAAAACCAACATGCTACAAATAATGTGCCATTTGGGGTTTCTTTTTCCAACAGAACTTGAAAAATCTTTCTGCAGCATTCTACCTGCTTGTCTTACCTCTGCTGAGCTGGTTGTTTTGGCTGGGTATGGTAGCATCTGATGCTGGGAAATTAATTGCTGCCATCCATCACTGGTTTCAAACAACTCTATTTTTGCTGTATACAGTGAAGAGAAGCAATTAAAGAGGGTTCTAGACCTGAAGCAGCAGTATGGGAAGGCAAAATGTCTGTTCTAGGATACTCAAAGTTCAAAAAATGGTCTGGTTTGGGATTTTTGAAGTTTTTAATATGCAATATTCTGTCAATAAATTAGGATTACTTGAAAAAAATACTTTGATCTTGGTGGTAGTTTCCTCAACAAAGAGTATTCTATACTGGTTTGGAGTCATTAAAACAACATACAAAGTCATCCAAATTTTTAAAGGTGTTACCCAATAAACCAGTAACTAAATATTTTCTCTGTCCCATTAATTTGTGGCAATATTGCATGGGAAAGCAGAGGTGAAGGATAACAGGCTTCATCTAAGCAGGTCTTTCTCTAAAAATTGAAAACTTTTCAATCTTTACAGAGCAAGCAGCTGCTAAATTAACAGAAGCAGGAGTTCCAGGGCTGTTGCAATGAAATACAGGTGAAATTTCCTATGAGCTGTGTCTTCCACTGTGTCTGGTCCTTTGGCTGAATACAGGTTACGCAGTACATGAAAGTTTACTCCTATGATCATAACGATCACTCCCTTTAAGGGATTACAGGATAGTAGGTTCCTCCAGCTTCTCAGGGCTTTAAATGACTAGAGAATTCAAAACTTCGGGAATTGCTGCTGAGAATCTGATACTGCAATCATGCCTCAGTGGAGGAGTTGCAAAGGGAAAAAAGACTTACTGCAGGGAGTGCTGTCATGCTGCAGCACAGCTATTCTAGCAAAAAATCAGAGGTGACAGTAACAGCCCTGCTCTGACTCTTTGCCTTGGAAAGCTCTACATTTTGTTCCTGATTAAGAGTTAAAATGTGTGGTGTAGAGTGCAATTATAAGGATGTCTCTTTTGTCAGAAAAGATATCACACAGCTCTGATCAGCAATTAATATGAATCCAAACTTGCACTGCATAATTTATCATCATATCCTGCCATGTCTTCATAGGAAGAGATACCTAATTCCCAGTTTCTGTGCTGCATTCACCTCACCTGGATAATTCAACTGAGCTCTTGGTGACACTCCCTCCCTGAATGTGAGTGAGCTGCAAGCTGGGTGGGTGTACTGTTCTGATAGCAGCAGGAACCTGTCCACAGATCCCTGTCATACAATGGGTGCACATTCAGCTTGTGATGGAGAAGAGACGGAAAAGTCTGTGCGAAATATGGTACCCAAGACCAAGCTGACAGAATAATTCTTTCATCCCATGTGTAGTCTCTCCCCAGAAAGAGATGTAGCCTGGCTGCATTAAATGCACTTCTGATGGGAAACACACACAAGCACTGAGGATGGTGTTCAGAGGGACCACAGCTGCCCTGGAAGTGAGACTGGAAGTGGCAGTGTGGTCCTTCTCACAAAAAGCTAAATGCTTTTTCTTTATTTTATGGATTTAACACTGACACAAGCAATAGAAGAAATAAAAAACTCGCTTTCTTTGCTAGCATCTGATTTGCTTTTTTCTCCATTCTCAATAGTCAGCTACATGGCAGCTAATAGCTAAAAGCTAAAACAACCCCTTTCTGGTAAAAGGGGAAATGAGAAAATTACAAGGCAGATGCAGAAGATCATATGAAATGAAAACACCAGATTTTTTTTCTCTCAAGTAACGCATGTATATTTAGATGCACTTACAGTGAACATGTAATATACCAAACCACCACCCTCAGGTCAAGTAAAAAATAATAAATAGTATTAGAGACTTTCTTCTGCAATGTTGCCATTTTGGGGGCAGTAGCTACCCCTGAAATCTCTTTGCACACTTCACTTGCCATTTTCTTACTGTAAAACTATTACCATTAATAATCATCCCAGTGATTTCAACTGGAGGATAATTTAGACTGAACATTGCTTTGGTTTAACAACTGAATAGACATAAATGCAATCACTTGGGTTTATTTACTCTTTATGTCTAGAGGAATAGAGTTGTGCATCAAGGGAGGTAATGGGCCCGATTCTTCATCTCTCTCTATAACCTGCTCACATAATTTCACTGCTGCAAAATACTCAGAGATTTCAATACCAGCTTTACTGGAAACAATTCATATCACATATAATGTACCAGTTTCCATCCAAAATGCTGGCAGTGGTAGGTTGTTTCCCAGCAGCCTGTTGGGTGTCCCCAGTGGCAGTGCCACGGGAGGCTGTGTGGTCGGATCCCACGTGCCTCCACGCTAACAGAATCACATCTCCTGTGCCTCCTTACCTAAGGACTTGCACCAAATACAGCCCAGCTGAATTCAAGAGCTAGCCTCAATATGTAGCTCCAGATCTCACAAAAACACTTGTACTAAGAATAATTTTCCATCATATGTGCGGTTTTCACACAGTATTAATGGATCCTGCTTTGTAGCCCTACATAACCAGCTCTTTTCCAGACAAACTCCTAAGTGCCGTTCTCACTCCAGCAGAAAGGAAATAAAATAGTGTATCATCAAGGCCACTCATCATACACAGGGATACCTGGTATTACAGAAATCAAGCTGGTTACAGAATATCAGACCAAAACTCTGTGCAGAAATAGCAGAAGAGCTTTTTGTACAGAACCTGAAGACAACTTTGCAAGGTTAATAACAGGCATCTTGTTTTCATTATTTTCTGCCCAGGAACTATTTATCACTATGAATTCATTGAAAATTTTGAAATACAGTAAAATGAGGAGAGCAGACTTGCAGGAAAACCTCTCCCTTTGCTACAATCTGCTCAGGAGAGAAAGGGAAAGAATATTTGTATGTGTGTGTAGGAGAGGAGGCTTGTGGCGGGGGAGCATACCCAGAGGAAATACAAATAGCATTTCACAGTGGAAGCATGACTGCAAGAACACTTTTTCTAATGTTTGTGCTGGTTCCATCAGTGTATAAAGGAAAATGAATCCTGCTAATTTAAAACTTCTACAATGACTTGCAAAAATGTAAAGAAGCTGCTACTGAAACTTCAGGGAAAAATATTTGAAAATTGATAGCCTTTTTGACATTTAAGACAAAGGGATAGAATTCTCTTACATCATCCCAACTGAAAATAAAAAAACACTTTTAGAATTATAATAGCATTGTTCTAAGGATATCCTTATTTAGCTTTTAATACCCCATGATGCTAAATTTTTTTAAAATACAAGTTAATCTCAGCAGAAGTAGAAATAATTAAAATTGAAAGCAACATCTGAGCACAGGGTTCAGTTAACAGCAAGTGCTTTCTGCCGTGCAGTGCCCAGTGATCTGCCAAACCACAGGTTCCACAGAATACGAAACCAGAGAGCTGCAGTTCTGACGTGTGCCCCAGGACTGATACGGTGAAGCACAAAAGATCCATTAAAGATCCATTTATTGTAGTCATTCTGCAAATGCAATTACTTTGACATTGTCTTGGCCATACCACAAGTCACAAATGTTCCTACAACCTTGCTTACCGTGAATATCATTTATCCCCAAGACATTCCTTCACTCCAGTTTGCTTAATTGCAGAATGAGGTCCATGCCATCTCTGAGTAAGACAGAACTTCAGGATAGATGTTGAAAGAAGTACAGCAGATGTTTAATGGAGAAACAGACAGATTTCTGCAGTAAAATGCACACCATCAAAAGTCAATAAAACTTACAAAAGACAGACTGTATTTAACTGAGAGAATGCAAATACCCAGGTTTTAAATACTGATCTGCAATTTGTAACTGTAACCCAAGAGACTAGTAATAGTGCCATTTAATCTACAGAAAATGGATTTTCAGGAGAGATTTCAGTTCCATATTTTTGTGCTACACACCTTTCAGGGCAGTTCTGACAACAAGCTACATGCAACGTGAGATCCCATATTCCTAATCCAGCAGAGTAGTTTTACTTCTCAGCAGCCCCACCTTTTCTGGTAAATCTCACCTGTCTCTGGAATAGCTTCCTTGCATTAATTCAGCTTAGCAATTGAAATGAAGGGGAGAAAATAAATAAATACAAAGTTTTTAAAATCAGTGAGTGGCTTAGCCAATATGACCAACCTAATGTGTCAGATTGTTTTGTTCTATTACATCACTTTTCCATAGCTTAATTTAGATAACTGTCAGGTAAAAGTGGAAGAAACAGCTATATAGTTAATACAACAGAAGGTATCAACTGATTTAAGCAGCTGGCCAAAGCAGTTAGCAGTGCATCTATCCCTTGGTTAAATTCTTCTCCTAGATCTGTGTAACACATGCATGACTGATATTTTTATCTAGAGCATTAAACCTAATGGCTGGTTAGTTGAAATATAAAACTGTTCTGAACAAATTCATGAAGTTCAGGGAGCTGGTGTAGGTCCCAGAAATACCCATCTGTCAGGGCATTTTAGTGGTCTCTGCAGCCTCATACTGAAAAATCTAAAGACTGCATTTCTAAAGAGCTGGGTACACATTAGCAGTTAGTTGGGTTTAACTGTGTACTAACATTCTGAAAATGAGGAGAAAATTGGGTTTAGAATCTTAGATGCAATAGCTTAGCCAACTGCAGTAAATAGCTAACTATACTTTTTTTGTGTTTTCTTTCTCTACAGGTATACCCAGTATTTCCAGTATTGGTAGTAAGTAACAAAACCAGTCTTGTTTTGCATTGTCATTCAGCTTCTTGGATCTAATTTCCCAACATCCCTTTCTGTTGCAGATAATGTTTCTCTGAAAACGGGCTCTATGGTGCAGATGCTATGTATTGGCCTTCCTTTGTTGCATTGGCATGCAACTGTCATGGTCAGAGAGACCATCACTCCAGATCCAACATATCTGCCTTCAACCACAAATATTCTGATCAGTTCTGATCAGCAGGTGAAAACCAAGTGCTATAAAACTAAGAGTTATGCAGAAAATTAAAACAGCATTCCACAGAAAATATTTGTTGAGCAACTTCTCGGCGTGGGGGAGAAAAAAAAAAGTGTTTGCTAATAACAGAGAAGTACAAGACTCTTAATTTTCACCCATGTGTGTGTAAATTCAAAGAGAATATAGAAGAGTTTTCTTTTTTATGAAGTAGCTTACCAAATACAGTGTATCTGCTGGAATCTTTGCATTAATGCAAGCAGCCTTTAAACTGGGCTTTACTCCACAAAATAAAGAGAATTGCGTTCCTTCACCAAAATCTGCTCTATTATATGCAATTAAAGAACCAAAATATGATACTTAGGCTACAACAAAACCATAGCACCGTTACCTAAAGAACTATTATATCAGTGAAAGAGATGATTAAATAAATAAAATACTTGAAAGGACTAAGTGCACAGTAACTCAGCTGCGAGTCCCGGATGAGTTCCATAGCAGAGAAGTGCACACAGTCCTACCACGTTAGTTAATTACAAATAAAGCAGGAAGGTAGAAATGGATCCTCCTGCAGCTAACTGAAGGAATATTCCCTGCAGCCTCAGCTTTGCAGAGGCTTTAGGCACAACTGACATGATATGGGGATATCACAGTGATAAAAATATCACAGTAGTAAAATGCAATTTGCCACACCTGATACCAAACTGAAAAGCTTCTGTTAATTTGGATAAAATTATCTCACTTCTTATGATGCAGGGTCAGGTCTGTAAATTTATAAATCAGCTCGGTTTACTTGAGCTCATCAATGGTGATGATTTGTTAAGCTCTAGACAGCAAGTTCAATGGCACCAAAACTAGCCTCCTTACAAATGAGAGCAGTGTTAACAGCTGAATGCCATGGCATCTGTTTTGCAGCTTTAAATAGTGAAACAGCATCAATGACAATAATGTGCAAATGAAAGCCTTCCATCTTAATAATGTAATTTTCCTGCTGTAGTGTTGTCTTTGGTATTTGCATGACTACAAATGCATTGTGATATGCTATTTTCAAAACCTTGTGTTTATAAATTATTATTATTATTAATGACAATAATAAAAGAAACTAAATGAAAGAGAAGTCACTGTTCTCAGGAATATTCCTGCCATTAATAACAGAAATTGGATGAATGGGAAAATAGCTCTTTGGAGTTTTATTGTGCTATAGTTTCTTAGTACTGCGTTGCATGAATTATATGGTTGTTTTCACTTCACACTCCATACAGCCTTTGTCACCACATCTACCATTTCTGAGCATCAGCAGATGTTGGCCTTTGAAAACTTAATAGGGAAACTCAAATACATTTTAAAAAACGGTGACCTGAAAGGATGCATTGTTGACCTCTTCATATTTTACACTGGGGTGATTAGTACAGTTTGTCTATTACAAACGGAGAAAAAATCTATTTAACATTCCATAGGAAATATATGCTTTCTTTTTAATCTACTGTAAATGTCTTGGAATAATATGTGGTAGAATTCAACAGTTTTCTTTGCCTACCTGAAAAGGATGAAGCATGAGCATCTCTTCCTGATAAGCACAAGTAAATACTGATATTCTGCTTGGTATTCTCATGGTTTTTTTTCTAAAATAGCTCAGGGGGAAAATAGCTCTATTTGCTCAATGTTCTGAACATCTTTCCTATAAGACAGAAATAGCAAAATGAATGTAAAGCAAGGATAGAACCCATAAATTTATACTGGTCTCTAAGAGAATTTAACAGAAGTACAATTAACAGATAAAAACAAACAAGATTAATTACTTGTGGCTGCTTTAATGGATCTGCATGATTTCTTCTTTTGTCTATGCTAATACAATGTTTGTGTTCGTATCAGTAGAATTTTTCCCCATATGGGGACAGGGAGCTACTCTCAGGAAATACAGTTTGGGTTTTATTTTGCCTGGCAGCAAACACTAATGGGAGGAGGGGGTATTGGCTTTTGTGTGCTCCAAGCTCTTCCTAGTATATAATGAGGATGGGGTTGGGGCATGGGATTATGAAGGCAACACTGCCAGCATATGAAGATTCCTCTGCAAGTGATGTTTATTCAACACTTTTAAAATTACAATGAAATCAAGAAAGAAAAATAAAATGGATTTACCTGTGCGCACATATATATGTATCATTCTCCATTCCTTTTCGAGATTCCTGTCTCAAAGGATCTTGTATTAAAGCAGCTCTTCATTAAAATTTGAACAAAGTAACAGTGGTCATTAAGTAAACATCCTTTCTGATCATCTAGTAGAAAAAAGAAAAAAAATAATCAGAGCTTTCCCATTAAGGTCATTTGTACCTGCCGTTGTCTATCAGTTGAAAAGTAGATTCTCTGATGATTTCCAGCATTCTTGATCCCAGTGCTGGCCCTTTCAACATTTTTCAGCCATGTCTGGAAAAATACTGGTGAAAGTGTTAACAATTAATGAGTCCCAAAACCATGTCATAATTTTAATCAGTTCTTACATACAGTATGTAAGTGTCCTGAAAACCACATTATTTTACTTGCTAAAATAATGATTGTATGATTTTACATAGACCGATGCATTAAAATGTCCATTATTGTGACCAAATGCCAAAGTTACTAATCTGTACATGTATGCCTTCAAAAAGTTGCCTCTTCTAAACTACAACTTCTGTCTTTTTCCCTGTAAAGCCTAACTCCACTAATTATGCTAAACAGTTTGTTATAAAGGGTATAATTAGATACAGGATAGGATAGACATGATGTGCAAATAACTCTGTGTGGGTGATTATCACCTTAATGCCTGCTGGTGGCAGATGAGTCAGAGTTTAGAGACAGACCCTGCACCCAAGTGCAAGATGCAGTCATGATCATTAAATGGTATATTCTGCTTTGTCCTGCATGGTTTTGTTCTTCTTTATAGCCAATTTCAAGTTAAGAGAACCTTTTTTTATGATAATAAATGCAAGACACAAGAGTTAAAAAAAAAAAATACTGCATGTGCACTCCTTTATTGTTTTCTTAACCTTGAGAGAGCTAGTAGGTATTTTTCTGGAATTAAAATAATGTCAGGATGAGTGTAGCTTTATTTGTTTTATGTACTTGTTGTGAAATTTTAATGTGGTAAATATATATCTTAAAAGATTGTGAGAGCAAATGCAAGTGGTTTTTTTTTTTTTTCCCCTCTTTTTTGGACCTAATTTTGCCCCCTTGCAGTAACTGAGAAGTTGTCTCATTAAATTTACAGCCATGGGATAAAAGCCATTACAGTGCCAAGCTCTGGACTACAGTTTATACGCAACACTCACATATGCCAGCAGGATATAAACATGCATAACTAGGCTGTATGCTATTTTTTTATTATTATCTGAGGTCAGGTTTTACAAAGAGAGCTGTGCTGTTGAGAGACCATTAGGATATTTAACTCATTAAAACATTTAAATATTGTCTTCAGACAATATATATTTTTTTGGACATAATAGCAAAATGTTTTCATTTTAATTCCATTTTTTCCAGATTTGATTTTTTAATAATTAATACTGTTAATCAGGCTTGTAATCTATGGTGATCACCTTATCTAAGTCATTGATTATAATACCAACCAGTAACAGTATTTATTTCTCCTCTTTTATTTAAATAGTTTGAAGCACTAGGAATTTTTCACTTTAACAATTAGATTTTCCATTATATTACAACATTATTGGGCTAGAAGAAACTACTGGTAGCCTATGTGATATAATGCACACATTTGAAAGCTAGATCTGAAAGAAATTCATCACTCCAAATAAAAGACTTTATGAGTAGTTTATTTACCAGGTAGGAGTCACAACAAAGCCAGTTTTCTTCTGTATAACTAGAATTTCATCCTTAAAGTTCAGCAAGCAGAGTGCCTGTGCTGACTCTCAGCTACGAACAAAAAATGTTTCTTTGCCGAGTGATTTCTAGTGCAGGGTCAAAAACTACCGGCACTGTTCCAGGGAGCACTGACAGGTTCTTGGGGTGGCATATGGGGGAGCCTTTGTTTCACTTTTTGTTTTGCCAGATCCACCAATTTGAACAGATAAGAAGAGCCGTTCCCACCAGTCTAGTAGACTCAGTCACTGGAAGTTGAGTATTGTTTCTCATTCTTCATCCTAGTTTACCTTCACCATCTTGGTTTAGTTAAAAACAGTATATCGATCAAATAGTCTTTTCAACACTTTTATGATTTGCTGTAATATATGTGAAATTACTTAGTTAACAGTTACCTTTGTTTTAACCAGTAATAAACAATCAAGTGACAGCACACTACAGAAAATGAGATATCAACATTTCCATATATACCATGGTACCTGTGCAGAACACATTGCACTTGCAATATGCAAGTTTAGCTGCAGTTACTCAAGGAAGTTTATAGAGAGCAGATATGATCCACAAAGATACTAAAAAATCTAATTATCAGTGTTGGAGAGAAACAGCTGGAAAAAAACCCACTGCTTTGTTTTTCCCTCTCCTGTTTTTCTTTCTGTCCCTCAAACATGCACTCAGTTTATTTCATAGAGTATAAGGGAAGAATGAGGTTCCCAAATCAGCATCGATTCTTTAAAAAGGCTCTTGATTTACTGTTCTTCATCAGTTGAGAATTACTGTACAGTAATCCTAGTCAAGCAGCCAATTTCAGCATATTTGTAGGAAAAAACAACCAAAGTAGAAAGAAATAACCCTTGCAAACTATCAACAGAATAATTTACTTTTTTTGTCCTGAGAAAGTACCTAAATACTTCCTTCCAAAAATATT